TAGTGGTTTCCATTTGCTTTTCCATTATTCCCTATATAACTCCTATATAAACCCTGTAATCCCTATATAAACCCAATATAGTGGTTTCCATTTTCTTTTCCATTATTCCCTATATAACCCCTATATAAAACCTGTAATCCCTATATAAACCCAATATAGTGGTTTCCATTTTCTTTTCCATTATTCCCTATATAACCCCTATATAAACCCAATATAGTGGTTTCCATTTTCTTTTCCATAATTCCCTATAGAACCCACATCACCATCGGCCATCCACGCTCCCCCTGAGTGCTTCTTCATCTGCCATCGGATAAAGTCTGTTCTCAGGCAACTAACTAATTCTGTCATCGCAGCTGCTGTAAGCCTTGGCCTGTATCAGCCTGAGCCCATTAGGTTGCTGAACCCAGTCAGGTGGTGCCCTGCTTATGAAATAATGTACCCACAAAGAGGATTAAATCTATTCTGTATAGCTATACATTGCGGATGATAGATTCCCCCAAGAAATATCCTCTGTACGAGGATTTCTTAAACTATGGGTACCCCGAGGGACCCTCAGGATACAGAGCGATCAGAACGGGGTCCTCCGGGAGTCCGTCAATTTTTGTTGCAACTCCCGACTCCCACATAGGGGTTTCCCAAAATTGAGGGCACCATGGTCCCCATGATAAGGATTATAGTATTTGGGGGTCTATGTTGGGGTCCCCTTATTTGGGAAACTACTACATAAGCTGTGCACAATAGTACTGTTGATACACTTGATGGGCATGGGATGCTTACTAGGAAATAAACTAGAAGCTTCATGTTGACCCACGCGGGCATATCAAAGTACAGATAAGGGTTCCCGCGTCAGGACTTTTCAGGACTGCTTGGAGGATTTCACCTAAACCCTAAAGCCCTACACCCTACAGCCTATATAATCCCAGTTTCCATTTCATTTTCCATTTTATTTTCCATTTGATTCTCCATTATTGGGGTCCCTATAATCCCTATATAAACCTATATAATAGTAAACCCTAAACCCTAAAGCCGGCAACAGCCACGCGACTGCTTGACACCTCGCGTGCCCTGCAGAGACCGCAAAAATGTGAGGGTTTCTCAAAATTAAGGGTACCATTTTGGGGGTCTCCATAATAAGGATTATAGTATATTGGGGTCTATACTGGGGGTCCCCTTATTTTGGGAAACTACCATGTATTGCGAAGCATCTAGTGCCATGGGGCTGAGCTACACATCACAGCCTTCCAACCTTCAGCTTCTTCCGACTTGCGGGTCTTACCACTGCACTTATATCTCAAGTACAGGTCCCCTAAATCTCCAAATATCATCTGGTATGGCTATAACTGGGTTGTAGGTACCAGTAGAATTAGGTTTCGGGGAATTGTGTCTTTGGGAAGTATGCACGCAGACTGACTGTCTCTGACCACTGCAAACAATGGGACACTGGCGTGGCTAGATCCATCTTTTGCAGACGGCCTCACTAGCTGAAGGTTGCCACAGCAATGGCTGGCAAAAGCAACAAAGCTTGAAAGTACCATACACAAATCCTGAATCACCTACCACCACTAGAGCTTTGCAAAGACTCGAAGCATCGCGGGGCGCAGGTCCGGACCTACCATCCCACGACAACAGTCATTGGCAGACTTGCTCAGATAGCCTCAAGACGCGGATACCCCCCAACATAGATGTCAAATCACGATTCTAAGGACTTCCAACTTGGGGCCATGGTGTTGAGACAACCCCATGTTGCCTCATGAGATGACTTGAACTTGATTTGCTACCAGAAATAGCAATTCTACCGAAAACAGCCCATGGCAGCTCTACGCATGGACATGAAAATCTGTACGGCGGCTCCAAGTGAGCCTTCTGTGCATGCCCGTAGCTCTATCAAAGTATTGCCGATTCTGCGCAGTTAGTCGAATCCGAAAGCATTCTCTCGCACAGCCTTGTGACAAGATCATACACTCATGGAACATCATGGAATCACAGCCGTTTGCCAACTGCACAGGACCCAACGATGGACCCATCATTCTTCCAGAGATCCACCGTCGGCTACGCCCCAAGGCCGCGAGGCAAGCAAAAGCACGCATCATGTGCATTGGCTTGGATTGGCTGTACATGTTGAGCACAGGGGTCACGCAGATAATTCCACCAAACAATTATAGTAGTTTCCCAAAATGGAGGGGAACGCAATATAGATTCCAAACTACCATACTCCTTATGACTGGTACCCCTAATTTTGAGAAACCCTAGGCCCTATAAATCCCTACGTACCCCATATAACCCCTATATACCCTACCCCTCTCAAGGAACCCCTATTTTTGGGAAACCCCCATTTCGCCTTCTGGCAGAACTCTCACTGCATGCCACAAGCTGAGCAAGATGCACCCGTGCCTTCCTCCATGATGATCTTGGGAGCCCCAAGATGTGCCTTGACTTTACGTACTGGTTCTCAGTAGGGAATAAGGTAATATATGACATTGGGATTATATGGATCTTATTCTCTTAGTCCCTACTAAGAACCAGTAAGTTTAGAGTTTTGGGTTCAGGTCAGGGTTCGGGGCTTGGGGTTTGATGTCTGCGCTGGATTATCAAGAGAATCCTGGACATCCAGCATGACCAGCTTGCATCGTCAGTTGCTCCTTGCTTGATCGAAATGGCAATCTGACTGGGCATGTATCGGAGGAGTGTCCCTCTATACGGAGCAGTTCTCCTTATCCCGAGCCCCCAACAGAGGGACACACATAGAATTGCAAGAGAGACTCTCGGCCCGGTACTCTCCGTGCACTCCCTGGTAACAGTGATGGCTGAGAGGCCCCGAGCAATGAGGGGACTTTGGTAACCCAACTCCTGTGACACGGTTTGAGGTTTAGGGTGTATCAGGGTCATATGAGCCCTGGACTAAATTTGTAGGATATCCCTTTTATAGGTCCCCCTATACCCCTATGTATCCCTTATAGGTCCCCCCCAACCTAAATTTAGTCTGTAGGTCATATGATGCTCATCAGGTCCTCATGTTTGGGGCTGGGCAACCAAAGTCCCCCTACTATCTTACCCACAACAAACCCTTATAGAACCTCCATGAACATACACTACATGACTCCGATTGTCCCTTTGAATTCGCATTTTCTTCCCTAAGCCCTTTTGCAGCAGGCTTGCACGTACGCGCCTAAGCCCTAAAACCTGATCCCTGAACCCTAAACTTCATCACAGGGTATAGTTCCCCTTAAGTAGATAGAATATGGGGTTATGGGGATCTTGTTATAATATACCCAAAGCCATATTCCATCTACTTAAGGGGGACTATAACCCAAACCCCTTGTTACTGAAATGTCTTCCACGCTGCAGGCTCCCATCTCCGCGCGGCGATCTCCGCACGAACTGCCTTCGGGAATCGTATGATAGAGCGGGATATATAGGGACATATAAGGACATATCGGATATATGTATATATATATATAGGGATAGAAAGGGATATATGGGGACATACAGGGTATAAAGGTATGTATGTACAGGGATAATATGGGCCCTAGTCTAAGCTCCTAGTCCTAGTATCCCCCTTTGATAACTTCTATAGAAGTCCCCTATAGATTTCCCCCTCTCGAAGTAAAATACTACGCAACATCACTCTGTGCAAGCGCATCGCAGTGTGAAATGTGCTGGAACAAGCACACACGCGCCAGCCGATGCACATTTCGCATAACCCCTATATTACCCCAATACAATATTAGTTTCCATTTTCTTTTCCATTATCCCAATATAACCCCTATATTACCCCAATGGGTTAAGAGGTTGCTAACCATCTTCGTGCTGTTGAACCTGGCGAGCTCACTGCTGGGCCTCGTCGGTGTCTCCCAGCTTCTTCTGGGCAAGCCCTGCCTGCAAAAGGACCCACTGGCCCCTAAAACCTTTTGAAAAAAAATCGTATCAGGGTCCCTTATTAAGGCCATTAGGGAAAATATTAAATATCCCAGAGGCCTACCCAGAGTATCACTCATGAAGGCATGGGCGCTTGCCTTGCAACACTCAGTCCACTCAGTCATCCAGCCTTTTGGGCTGCCATCGCGACCTTCACCGCAACATTGAAGCCAATCTCCCGGATCCTTCCCGTGCTTGGGAGGACGGAGTCGGCCTCCATGTCCTCCTTGTCCAAGGAATTGGCTACGGCCTCAGCAGCCTCCATGAAGAGCCGGTCCGTGATCTCTTTCGCTTCGCAGCACACGGCCCCAAAGGACATGCCTGGAAAGATGAAGAAATTGTTCACTTGCCCCGGCACACGAGTCTTGCCCTGTACCATCACTGGGTCGAATCTGGTCCCAGAGCCAAAGATAGCCTTGCCGTTGGAGAATTTGTAGCAGTCCTCGGCTGTAATCTCCGCCTGGGTCATGGGGTTGGAAAGCGAGAAGATGATGGGCCGGAGAGCTCCGCTCTTCTTTGCTGCCTGGACGGCAACCATTTCCTGAATCACTTCCTGCACAGCAAAAGCACTGCTGACATCTTTTGCGCATGCGAGGCCTATGAGACTTAGCCAACCCTGACGATGCCGGTGTCCTGCGTGAAGCATCCTGGTGCCCGGCCAACTGCCCCAACCAAGACGTCTGGCTTGTGGTGCTTGATGATGGCCACAAGATTGGTTGCATCGTATCCTTGACTGCAACTCTGCAAGACACTCGGCCATGGCCAATGATTGCACTGACTGATGTGACAGCAAGGGGGCCGACCCCAAACCGTTCAAAGGCTTTGGGATTGCTATTACTATTATTAATACTAGAATTGCTAGAAATGCTCTCAATATTACTGTTACAATTACTACTATTAATATCATAACAATCTTTACTACTAGCATCCATGATCAGCTAGGCAATTGATGATGAGGCTCCCTTGGGCTCGCCCACAGTTGCCACTGCCTTCTGCTCATCGTTCTTGTAGCTGCCTTTCCTGGGTTGCTGTTAAGGAACTTAATCTAAGTTACAATCCCTAAACCCTATGTACCCTATATATATATACATATACCCTATATACCCTATACATATATACATATATACATATGTACCCTGTATACCCTATACATATAAACATATATATACACCCATCATGGTAACTTAATTCAAATTCCTTAAGAGAAACCCAGCTTCTTGCCATCGGCGGATTTCCAGATGACACCTGGCCGCAGTTCCGGTTTCGTTCCATATTAAAACCACTAGGGTTTACATTATAGGGACTATATAGGGCTCATATAGGGAGTATAGGATATTTTTTCGGGATATATTAGGGATAACGGAAAAGAACATCGAAACTCCTATACTAGGGTAGGGTATAGGTGGATGATTTAGGGTTATATAGGGGGAATATGAGCTATAGTCTAAGCTCCTAGCATCCCCCTTTGTAGCCCCCAATATATAATCCCAGTTAAGACGATGACTATAACCCATATCAGCATGGTGCTCACCCACACAACTTTGGCACCCTAAACCCTAAAGATCATGCTCAGTCCCGCACCCTTCGAGTTTGTGACCAGGATCGAGGATGCAGGCACGCCAGCTTCATTCCTGAAGAAGTGGGAGTTTCCCAAAATTAGGGGCACCATTTTAGGGGTCCCAATAATAAGGACCATAGTATTTTGGGGTCTATATTGGGGTCCCCTTATTTGGGGAAACTACCAAGTGCTGTACAGTGCGAGGGTTCCCTGGCAAGACTAGTACCTCAAGCGCGGGGTGAGCTTTCACGACGTAAAAAAAGCGCAGAACCCGCCGATATTGCGTCCTCATAACAGAAGCCTGCCCACCCAATAAGCTCAAAAAGGACGTCCCGCTGTCTCTAGAATGGAGGAATGGCAAGTACCCTAAACCCTAAACCCTAAACGGCGTGGCTTTATATACTAGATTCCGCATTGGTTCCGTTCCCTCATCCCCAACTGCCAAGCCTACGTAGTAGTTGGCCACGTTCTTTTGCATTCCTTCATTGCCTGCTAGCCAGGGAGCAACACGGGGACGCCCAAAAACACAACCTCTCCAAAAGAAGGGGTCCAATAATCTTGGGCTCCCTGTTCCCAAACCCCAGACCCAAAACCCTAAACTCTCCAGGACACTTTTTTGAACCGAATAAAGCTCGATCTGGTCTGTGGTCTCATTATCGGTTTGCCATGTACCTAGACCTAGACCCCAAAGTAGTACAAAAAAATCCTGATTATGGGGACACCCAGAAGGCACCCTAAACCCCAAACCCCAAACACTCAACCCTAAACCTTACCTATGAACTCCTGAGGATGAGGCAACATCAAGGTGGCACTTCCAAGGTTTGCCGAGCCCGCACCGTGGAACAGGACGCGCAGACCTGAAGAATCAGTTTGGACCTACATATAATCCCGCCCCCCTTAAGTGGATAGAATATAGGGTTTTACAAGGGTTATATAGGGATAATGGAAAAGAGAATTGAAACAACTTTACTATAATGGGATATATATTGGGGTTATAATCCCCCTTAAGTAGATAGACGATAGCTTTGGGTGTATTTTGACAAGATCCCCATATACCCCATATTCTATCTACTCAATCATGTTGGACCTACATGGGTTTAGGGCTTGGGGCTTAAGAATCACATTGGACCTACATAGGTTTAGTGCTTAGGGCTTCAGAACCATGTTGGATCTACATGGCTTTAAGGTTTAAGAATTACATTGGATCTACTTTGGGGTTTGCGTAGGGATTATGTAGGGTGTACATGCGGTTCTGTAGAGGGTATTTAGCACTTTATAGGGATATTAATTATGTAGGGACTACGAGGGGTCCTATAGGATATATAGGGATTCTGTACGTGTTATGTCGGGCTTAGGGATAAGCAGAGTGCAACACACTAGGGTTGTCTGGGTGTCTATGATGTAATCCCAGTTTTCATTTAAGTTGTCCATGTTGTTCCATTTGATTCTCCATTATTGGGTGGTCATATCCCTAAAGCTCTAAGCCCTAAACCTAAACCATGTGTAACCCGATTGTGGTAGTTTCAATTTTCTTTGCCATTATCCCTGTATAACCCCTAATATTAACCCAATGAGGGGTTTTGGGGGGTAATATCCCTAGACCCTTGAGGGTAGAAGCTGGATGTAACTTGGGTTAAGGTTTAGGGTTTAGGGCTCAGGAAGTTTAGGGCTTCAGTGGTTCAACACACGCACGGAGTCGCACGGCATGGGAATATGGCGGGGTCCCAGTCTCAGGCATCGCATGGCTGAATTCAGCCTGTTAGCTCCTTCCCGACTACTGCTCCCCCTTCCTTCCTTCATATACCAAGCACTTGGCGAAAGGAAACACAAGTGTGCGGATGCGGTCATTTCCCTAAAATGGGGGAATCCCAACATAGACCCCAAACTGCGATAATCCTCATTATGGAGATCACCAAAAAAAGTACCCCAATTCTTGGGAAACCCCCATGCACAGGGTTGAGGACTGCTCAGGAATGCAGAGGGTCACCTCGGTCCAACCACGCCTTTTCCAACAATCGGAGGGGTCTTTCTGCAAGGACACCCAAAAGGGAACCTCATGGAACATCTCCAAGTAGGATCAAATGAGCTATAGTCTACGCTCCTAGTATCCCTCTTAATAACCCCTATAATGGGATCCTATATAATCCTCATAGAACCCTCTGCAAGGAGTTTAGACTATAGCTCAAATAGGTCGGTGCTTGGCTTCGGGAATCTTCACCTTCAAGCGCTATGTTGCACCCCACTTCTAAAAGATGCCCAGCTAGCCTGGCTGCGTTCTACTTGGCTGTGCATCCGCACATGGCTACAGGCTGCTGTCAACTCAATTCAAATCCCAAACCTTTTGACCCTAAACCCCAAGCTCCAAAACCCTAAGCCCCTGGCCTTTGAGCTCTGTCAAGAGGTCTGTGCACTGAGGCTTGTTCAACCTTGGACCACGCCCAGGCTTGTCAGAACGACTTGCGAGTTCCTCATTACCCCTAGAGAATCCTTCATAGAAATCCCTCCGTTAGTTTGTATGGGGGTTATATAGGGATGCTGGAAAGAGAATGGAGACTACTACAATAGGGTTATAGAGGGTCTAGGGTCTATAAGGGTTTAGGGGTTTAGGGATATTACCCCCCAATAATGGAGAATCAAATGGCAAAGAAAATGTAAAATGAAATGAAGGATTATAGAGTAGTTTACAGGTCCCCATTTTTGCGAAGCCCCCCCATTTTTGCGAAGCCCCGAGTCACAAGCATGACACTACTGCAAAAAACTCACAAAGCAATTCGTAGCCAAGGCACTTGATGCCTCCCAGTACGGCAGCAACCTAGGTTGCTGGTTGTGTTCTCATCTTTTTTGCTTTATTTTTGACGGGGTGGAGGGGGGGGGGAGGGGCTTTTCACGGGTTTAGGGTTTAGACTTTAGTTAACATAATATGCATATACTAAATGATGGGGCTTCCTTATTTTTGTAACCCAGACCCCAATCCTCCAAACCCTATATACCCGTTATATACCCTTACTCTAATAACTTAAGTTTTCTTTTTGTTGTAACCTAAACCCCCAAAACCCTAACCCTTTATACCCTTTTGTATAGTAGCTTAAACTGGGGGAATATAGGGAATTAAGGAGCTGAATTTAAGCTACTATTTTGGGGAAACCCGATTAGCTACTACATGTACCCATTATGGTAACTTAATTTAAGTTCCTTAACAGCAACCCAGGAGCTGCCACTGAGGCAGTTCCCTGAATGTCATCGTTGTACGTCAGGAACTTGGAGCCTCATCCGTATAGGGCTGAGGGGTTTAGGGTTTAGGGTTTAAGGGGTCGAGGGGTTTGGGTTTAGGGTTTGGGATTTAGGGCTTCGGATTTAGGGTTTTGGATTTAGGGTGTCGGGCTCAGAGCTCAGGACTTATACGGTTTAGCCTCATCTGCTTTTCTCTGGAACTATCTATGAATAAAAAAGAGGTATGCTTTTCTCTGGAACTATTTATGAATGAAAAAGAGGTATGCTTAATACTTCCTGTTATATTAGAAATAAGACTTGTTTGGAAAAGAAGCGTCATAAAATGTAAGACCAACGGTTTTGGGATGTGCCATTTTTCCAACTGAGGATTTAGGGTTTAGGATTTAGGGGCAAGCCTGCTGAAAAGGGTTGTGCTTTCATGATGCTCTCAGTTCACAGTCTCCAAGCATTAGAGGCTCCGATATGCTCTTACTAATCTTAACTGGCGATTGGAGAAATGGAAACCACTATAGTATATCAAGATATATATTGGGGGTATAGCAGGAACCAAGGGAATGGAATCCCTATATGGTCCCTATAATGTATGCTCTCTTATTCCTGCTAACCAACCCTAAACCCTGAACCCTAAACAGCTAATACTGCCGCTGTTGCACGGTATTCCTGAAGCAACGGAAAGGCATCGTTGGAGTTGAAGTCCTGCGCGCAACTCTGCCGGGCAGTCTGTCTAGTCGCTAGTCCCTGAAAAAGGGTTTACCTTAGACCCCAAAGACCTTCAGTTTTAGGATTTCATATAAAGAATTATACTATAGGGTCCTAAAACTGAAGGTCTTTGAGGGTCTAAGGTAGGGTTTACTACCTTTGACCGAAAAGAATTCTGTTTTGGGCTTTTGCTCAAGGATTCAGACCGTTGGGGTTCGAAAGCTGAAGGTCAGGTGAGTAGTGCTTTTATGGTGGTTGAACCTAGTAAGATTATTATCCTTGTATAATACACTATACCCAAAAGGAGTATATAATCTTACTCTATATTGGGTACCATCGTCGCCCCAAATAAAATTACTACTCAGGTGGGTCCGAGGTTGGAGATCGAAGGTATGGGTTCCAACCAATCCCAAACCTTAGTGGGGGCTATTAGGGACTAAGGGAATATAATCCCCATATAGTCCCTACTACATCATATACTCCCTTATTGACTACTAACTCCCATACATAATACCCCATTATGATGCAATGTATCCCATTTTCTTTTCCAGTTTCCCCATATTACTGCAATATCTTGCCTGATTCCCTGCTCACCCTAAACCCTAAACCCGTAACCCCAAACCCCAATCCCTAAACCCGCAACCCCAAACCCTAAACTCCACACCCTAAAGCCTCGACCCTAAACCCCTAAGCCCCTAAACCCCTATACTAAACCCACAGTAAGCCAAACACATCACCATGTTGGGGACCTCGAACTGCAGCAGACAACTCCGCCCGAAAAGCTCAGAGGCAGCAGTCATAAACTCCTCACGAGATTAGATGGTTTAGGGTTTAGGTTTTGGGTTTAAGGTTAAGGGTTTCGGGTCAGATGTTAAGGGTTAAGGGTTTTGGGCTAGTAGGGAAGAAAGAATACGTATCTGAGATAGGGATTGTTTCAGGATGAAATTCCCTCATTCCCTACTAACCACCAGGAAGGATTTGAGTAGAGCTTTTCTTTTGTTGTTGGTTGAACCAAATCAGAGTATGTTCTGCTGACACAACATTACACCCAAAAGGAATATATGAGCTATAGTGTAAACTCCTAGTATCCTCCTTAGAAACCCCGATAATACTCCCCATAAAATCCGCTATATGACCCCTTTTACAAGGTCTAGACCATAGCTCATGTAGTCTTATTTCTTGTATCGAGGACTACAGTATCTGGGTGGGTCCCAGAAACAAAACTAGCGACTCCTTTCCTTGTTTTAGACCACTCCACACACGCTTGAAATTCGGTAATTTCCTGATAGACTAGGGCATGGGACACAGGCACAGTTATGCAAGGGAGTCTAAAGGCACTGCTATAGGGATCCATGTGTCCATTCCTTATTATCCGATCCACAAGGAAGGTAAGCAATGCCAAAAACCCAAGCGGTCCCCGATGAAGGAGCCAGGGCCGTAGTAGGCAGTGTTTACCTCCACAAGAGGGTCATCACAACAGATCCATTCTCACGTATATCCGGCTGTAGCTCAAACTGTGGCCTCCAACAATCCATGTTCAAATTTGGGTCCTGCCCACACCCATTAACAATCCATTATCGGGGTCATATTAAGTGCTTTATTCAAGTATATACTTGCAAATCATTTTGTATTTGCACGCGAGCAAACGAGTCTGTTAGGCACTCAAATGCAGAACTTCGAGAGTGACCGGCCTCAGTGCCCTGCGCCGACGTGTGCTTGACACGATCCTGCTTAAGCAGAAAGATCCCTTTCTGTGGTTTCCCAAAATTAGGGGTACATGTTTCCCCATAATAAGGATTATAAGGATCTACATTGGGGCCCCCAATTTTGGGAAACTACCATGATCCCCCTATATACCCTTATGATGGCACCTACGTTCACTCCTCCACTCCCCCTTAAGCATCATATCCTGCTTCAGCCCGGTGTAGAGGGAATGGTCGCGAATTGTGAGCCTCTTCACGCCAGGCATGGCATCTTCCAGACAATGTCTCACTTTTTCCCGCATTACTATAGTCCCATTAGACCTAGAATAAACACTAATTTGTTAAATAATGCCTGAGGGCAATACCATTAAACAAAAAATCCCAAGGAGACTACAGATTGCTCTTTTGCAGGAACACCTGTTGGGGTTCCTTCTTTGGCAATGCAGCCTAGATTGCTTCTGAGGACAGAACTTCGCGGAGTTTCCACTTGCATCAGTGCAGCCAGCATCAATCATGACAGGAATTGTCCTGTGAGGATCAAAGCCTCCACCTGTCACAAGCATCTACTGGGCTGCCGTGAAAAAACCTAAATTAAGATACTATAAATATGGGTTAATATGATAAGTACTAGAGGTGCCTGATTTTCGTAGCTTTATTTAACAGTTCCTGAGCAGCAACCCAGTCTATCCAAAGTGAATTCGTGTATTCAAGCGGAACGTGGTTTGAATCCTGGCCTACCCCTGCACAACACTCACGTCTACAATAAGACGCGCAACTGACGCTTCGGGAAGTAAGCCCGGGACAGACCGTGTACAGGTCCTCGCATGCAAGCTCCACTGTTATGATGACACTTTTATTGAGGATAGTAGCCTGGAAATCTAAACAAGCGCGTTGTCTTATGGCGTTTGAGCGGCCCCTCGGCTTCTAGTTGGGGATCCGCTGACTCCTCCTACTGGCTTCTAGTTTGACGCACATGGTAGCCTGTGAATGGACAGGGGCCCAAACAGAACATATACTGCAAGCCCGTGAATATATGTCTGAGAGCCAGTGCAAGGGGCACTCAAGATCACACCTGGTATCACGACAAATGGACAAGAAAATGGAAATCACTGCGCAAAGCTAAGGTACACACGGGTCATGTAGTGATACTATTCCCATAACGGAGAATCGAATGGAAAAAATGGAAACATAGTGCAAACGGGGCTTCTATAGATGGGAATAGGGATGAGGGTTTCCCAAGTTCAGGGGTACCTTTTCGCGGGTCCCCATAATGTTCACCTCATATTAATAAACCCCTGCGTAATTGCAAAATCAGAATCCCCGAAAGTAATTACAAACCCCACCGCAATTGCAAAATCCAACCTGCCAAAATGCAAAAATGTTGGAAGCGCTCGACGAGTACTGTGTTGCCCAAGATCAGGTGTCATCAGAGTGGTCTTCTAGAGCAAGTGGTGCTTCTACGACTGGCCAGTACTACTATTGGCTAGGACGACTGGAGTTCCAGCTCACGGTCCCGGACACCCTTAATTACGGAGGCTCGTGTTCACATCCATTATGAGGTTAAATTTAATCATCAAGATTATATTAATTTGGTGTCTATATTAAGGCCCCCCCATTTTGGAAACTGCCCCCCTGACCAGATTGTCGTTGGCTTCTTTCCAGTTTGTGCAGTTGTAAATTCAGAAGCACTAGCAAACGTATCTAGAGAGCACTAACATTTTCCCAGGTAGGTTTACTCTGACCTAATGATATCTATAGGGGACCATTCGCTATGAACTAATCAATCACAGTCTAATCCCAGCTTCCATGTCTTGATAAGTGCAAACCCTAAACCCCTGTGCCCTAAACCCTAAGCCCCCAAACCCTGATTCAGGTCCCGACGCCCCTAGTCAGACTGCATAATCCCTATATATCTGCCCGGAACCGACTGTAGGCTCATGACAACGGGATTTTGGTAACCCCAACCCCCCAACTTAGGATCCTTTTATGTTACAATCATCTCTGCTATGGTTGCTATGGGGTCCCAATGTGGGGGCGGAGCTCGAGTTGCTAAGAACCCTCACGTTGCTTCAGGGCACGTGGTCCAGCTTTATCATTGGGGTGATAGCCCTGCACCATCCCATAGGCGCAGCAAAATCTCTGTAGAAGCCTATCGAACCCTAAACCCCACATAAGCCCTAACACCCGTTAAGTTCCCTAGACCCAAAACCAAACCCCAACACCCTGAAACTTAAACCCTGAACCCTAAATCCCTAAACTTCAATCCTAAATTCCAAACCCTAAATCCCAAACCCTAAACCCCAATCCTAAATTCCAAGCCCTAAATCCCGAACCCTAAACCCCAATCCTAAATTCCAAGCCCTAAATCCCAAACCCAAACCCTTCAGGCCCTACAACCCTTTAAGGGCCCTTCTGGGTCCAGCTTCCCGATAGGGATGCCCATGCCCCAAACGCCCAGATCACCGAGGCCCAGGATGCGACCGCCATCGGAGAAAACCTGAGAACTGTCGGGGGTTTTAGGGCTTTGGGGTTTGAGGGGTTTGGGGGTTTTAGGGTTTTGGGTTCTTGGGGCGCTCTTCAGCTCAGCTAGCAGCTAGCCCGTTCCCTTCTGCACAGACAGCAATTCTCATGCACATCTGTTTTCGAGGGCACATGGACTGTCCCGCCTGTTGCTCGCAACTTGCGGCACTTGCGATTCCTAGGCCCTTTCCAGACTGTGATCCCATGGTAGGGCTGTCACGTGCTATTCTAACCATACACCAATTCGAGCCTGGCGAACTGGTCTTGAAGGAGCGGTCAACTTGAATGTTGCAGGGGCGGTCGTGCGACTGGTGCGCAACAACTTGACAATGTTGGCCATGGGTGATGCGGATGCTTGGCTGCCGGCTGTCTCTTCCTCTGCCTGGGCTAGGTCCAAGGGTGTTTGCCCATTCTTTGACTGCCATGTTGGATCTGCACGTGCCTGGAGGAGTAGTTGTACTGATTCCAAACTTCCGACCCGGACTGCGTGATGCAAAGGGGCCATGCCCTCCGCGTTTGGCTTGCAGACGTCCGCTCGCATCTTGATCAGAAGCTTCAGAATGTCTAAGTGGCCATTCTGCAACCCAGCGGACAAGGGTGTAGTCCCGTGTGAGGGAGCAGAATTGAGTGCGGCTCCAGCATCCCGTAGACGAGCAAGGACACCAGCATGACCTTTGTGGG